TAGGAAAGCTGATAACCTAATTTTGCACCATGGTCAAGTTTAGGCATTTTTGTGAATCAATTAAATAAGAATTTCTAAATTATGCATTCTAAGTCACCTTAATTTGACCTAGTTCCAAACTCTCCAGAATGGTAACTTTCCACTGATGTTCCTTCAAAGGCCACCTACTCAACCATATCAGGTTCTTCTGTGAGATTTGAAGAGTCAAAGCAAAATATTTCCAATAAACTAAGTGAACATCACGTGGAACAGAGTTAACTACTCTGCAGAGCATATAAAAACATTATGAAAGAAATAGGCCAATTCCAACTGTTTTAAAGACCCTATACGTACATGGGGAAATGGTCACAGACAGGCAGGGGTATTTATGAGGTGCACTGGTGGTGATCGGTCCTTTCCTCTTTGATAGGCTCTAACAGATGCGATGCTCAAAGATAGAATCCCAAAAGATTAGCATTAGAAGGCAGAACGAAACTACTCTGCGAGGCAAACTCCTGTATCTTAATTTCACAAAAGAACATCTTTGTTGCACTTGGAGGTAGATTTACTTGGGCTGCTTGATGAGTAATTATAGCGTTGGCAAATACAATTTATGAAGGACATCAATTAAAAAGCAGTGCAGGGTTTAAAAAAAAAAAATTCAGTCAAGACCGTCGTGTCTGGGGCCTGTCTAACCGTGTGAAGTGCCAAAGCACATTAATGGAGATTGTTAAGTCCAGCTCGTCCAGCGAAAGGCTTGGAAGGAAGTGGGACAGCACAGACGATAACCCATCTGTAATCACAAGATGAATACTTCAGTGTGATCAGGCCACACGACATCATTTTCACTGAAATTATTTTGACACCCATGTGAAGAACTGTACAGGCTTTTGATGAAGCAGCATTAACGACAGGGTATCAAACAGCTAAATGGCATAAATTTAATCCTTAAAAACAAAAAGAAGATAATCCTTCGAATTCCCTTCTCTTTTTTTTTCCCATTAGATTTGTTAGCAGGCACCATCCAA